CGGGGCTCCCGAAGCGGGAAGAGGCGGTGGAGTCATTAGGCAACAGGAGGAGCACGACGGTGAGGTCGAGCGCAACGAGCGAGCGAAGCGGCGACGCGAGGGTGAGCCCGCTCGAGCGGGCCGAGCGCGGCGGAGACCCAGGCGACGCAGTCGGCGTTGGTGGTTGAGGAGGGGGCCAACACAAGAAGCGCCGTGGGGGGCGGGCGTCGGGTCGAGGGCGTCCAGGCCCGGCGACGGACTGACGAAGGAAAGGGGCGTTAAGTGCGGTGCCGAGACGGGGCGGCTGGCCAGGTCCCCGACGCGAGGAGGCACTGCCTCGTGCCCCTCCTTGGGCGTCGGGGCAGGGGAGGTCCGGTGGCTTGGCACGAGGACGGTGACAGCTCGGGGAAGTGCTATCTGGCTGTCGAGCGGGGGTCGAGCACGACGGCGTCCAGAACGGAGGGCATCTGGCGGCAGGGAGCAGCGACCAGGGAGACAAGGCAGAGAGGGGCTTGCGGGGAAGAGAGCAGCGACGGGAGGTACTCGGTGTCGGTCTGCGAAGGAATGGGGGACCACGGCGTCTGTGGTGAGGCAGGCAGGTGCGCTGCACGCGGAACGGCACGACGTCGGGCTTGCAGGCAGCCAGAGCCGGTGTGGTGGCGGCAGATGACTTGCAGAGACGAAGATGCGCGGCTGCCGGAGCTGGAGGTTGAGGAAAGGTGGCTCGACGCGGCAGGCGCAGCGATGGAGCTCGGGAGGCTGGCAAAGAGAGAGGGAGTGAGGCCGGGAGCCATGGGAGGAATGCGGTGCACGATGGGGAGCGAGGGGAACGGAGCAGAGCAGCCGTGAGCATTGAGGGCGCGGGGAGGGGTGTTCATGAGCATGACTCGACGGGTGGCTCCCTGGCACGCCTTATAGGCTGGTGCCCAGGGGACTAGGAAGGGCCTGCGGCGCCTAACAACACTGTAGACGATGACACATGACAGGCGTGCAGTGTCCGCTTATTCATCAACAGTGGCCAGGGTGTGGACGTCTTGTCCACGCAGGTCCGATGTGACGTCGCGGTTGACTTCGGGCAGCCGGTTGGTCGGAGCAGCCGACCGGGGCAGGCAGCCCGCCCGTCTCGTCGTCTTGGGACTGCCCGGGGCATTTACCGAAAAATGCGAACTGAGCATTTACTGAAAAAGGCTTTCGCCCCGCTTCATAAATAAAGCAACCACCGAGCACAAAGTCAACAAGGTACCAACCGAACAACACACCCACCGCAGGCAAGGTCCAACACACAGGCACACAAACACTACACGGGTTCAGCTGTGGGCACAGCACAACAAGCCCAACATAGACACAACAGGCACGCACAACACACACATGGCGGTGACGGTGACGAGGTAGAGAAGAGCTAATCCGGCTCCGGTGGTGGTTGGGGAAGCAGCAGAGCCATCCGGAGAGTCATCGCACGAAGCTGGGTGATGATGGAGGTGATGGTGTCTCTCTCCCTGGGGCGGCTAAGCGGCCGCCAAAGCTGCAAGTAACCAGACCATTTGAACAGAGCGTCCGTAGCGCGACGAAGAGGGATACACTGAATCACAAGCTTATTCCTAATAGTCCACATCGTCCAGGCTAGCACACCGATGGTCAACCACCTAATGTGGCGAGACAAGGGTGGTAACGCCTGGAGTTCGGCGAAGAGAGCGGGGAAGCTGTTGTGATCCCAGCTTCCACCCACTATTTCGCGGAAACAGCTCCAGAGGAACTGCGCGGACACGCAGGCGAACTAAGGATTTCACAAGTGGCTAGATTCGTTGTGAAAGAATCTGTCCCCCTAGGTTACAGTCCTAAACTCGGCATGGGTGATCGCATTTTTTAGCGGTATGGTGTACCTGTTAAGTACGATGTGTCCATGGTCACTTCGTCAATCTCAAGATTTGTTGGTTCAGTCCCTTGGAGTTCATTCTTCAAAGAAAAAAAAATACTCCCTCCGATCCAAAATCAGTGAGGTGATTTTAGTTCAAATTTGAACTAAAACCACGACACTTGTTTTGGATCACAGGGAGTAGTATTTAAGAGAAGGCAGTATTTCACCCACTTGTAATGAATTACTCCCTCCATAAAGAAATATAAGAGTGTTTAGATCACTAAAAGTACATATTTTAAATAATGTAATACAGGATAAGAAAAAAGATGGCCCATATTTACAACAATGCAAGCTGCTTACAGAGGTGTTTCGTTAAATAATCCAATTTTTGTGGAAGCATCAGTGCTTATATATATAGAGCTGGGGATAATCCAATTTTTGTGGAAACATCAGTGCTTATATCTATAGCTGGGTTGCGTAGTTAAGCATATGCTCTCTAGAAATAAGTATGGCTTCTCAAGGTAAAGCCGGTTTATTTTTCTACACATTTGCTCCCCACAAATATGCACCGTGCTTAAGGTAAAGCTGGTTTATTTTTTAAAACACCTTGCATCGTACATGACCTTGGTTGTGGACTTGGCTTAGTTCAAAGTCCGTTAGTCTTGGCTATTGAGTCGGGTTGGAGTCCGGCTTTGGAATTGTATGCATTTGACATTCGAAGTTATACGTAGTTGTGAAGCATATTTTTGCAGCTTCAGATATTATAACAACAGAAGCAATACTATTCTGCATATATGGCAGACACAAATTGTCCATCAGAGAGCGGATGCCGTTTTAGGAAGACATTCTGTCGATAATAACTTTGTACTTATGCAACCGTCCATTCTCTGTTTTACCCCATAGATGCAAGAGAGCACTGTTAGGAATTTAAGGTTTGTGGTCTACCCCATATTCCTCTGTCTTTTTTTGATGCCGCTCACAATTCACATATATGAGGCTGGGTAGGGACCTTCTTATATTGTCTTTCCAAAAAGTCCAACTCTTATACAAACTAGCACGACGCCCATGTGTTGCTACGAAATTATAAAATACGAGTTCAGTCACTGTCTTAGAAAGTCATCAAAATATCATGTCATGCAGCCTTTGCGCATAGTTTACAATTAAAAAGAACAGAAATACTATGAAAAATCATACGGTGGGCATTGGAGAATCTTAAGCGATCATTGCAAGACACAACATTTCGAATGTTGAAAGCTGAAACATGTGGGAATAGACAATTAGTAAGTTGACTGCACAAGCAATGGTAGGACAATGGCTATCGTCACTTTGGAATTACAATTTGTCCACTCTCATAATTCTATGATATGGAACCATTTAGAACCGGGAAAAATTGGTTAGGAAGAAACTAAAAACAAGGGCATTATTTTGAGTTCCAGTTGCATTTTTGCATTTGTTATGTGTTCTTTCTTTAAGTGTTGATCTCGCATAAAAGTAGTAATGTAATAATGTAGTTGTTTATTGGTGGTAGGTCTCATATGTGAGTAAAGTACATTTATTTATGTTTTGGAAGGTTTTTGGTCCCATGTGGGTAGGGGTGCATTTGATTATTGGTAAAGGTTGTTGGTCCGACATGTGGGTAGAGGTGCATTTGTTTATTGGTGAAGAATTGTTGGTCTCACATGTGGGTATGGGTGCAGTCGTTTATTGTTGCATTCGTTTATTTTTGAAGGTTGGTGGTCCCACATGTGAACTCACCACCAACTCCAACCTTTATAAGTAGGAAAGATAACATATCCAGTAGCCTTCAAATTTTCTTGGATCATTAGGAAACTGTGCAAGGAAAATTTGCAATTTTTTGTACGTGCAACCCACCAAGATGTTTTTCTTTGAAAACACACTGGCAGCCGAATACGGATTGACCTGACTGTGGAAGGGATTCAACAGTGTTATAACAGTACCTGCAGATTCTTTGATTGAGTTCTAGTTCACAGATTTATATGTGATTTCTCATTGTATGTTTACTCACTTATCAGGTGATACCGTCGTAGCGGTGGATAGCCCTTTTGGACGATTGGGCCTTACTGTTTGCTATGATTTGAGATTTCCAGAGCTTTACCAATGTTTGCGTTTTAAGCATCAAGCTCAGGTGATTGTGTATGCCACTGTACTATACTCAGTATATATATAATACTACCGCTGTTTTTAAATATATAAGATGTTTTGGCAGTTTAAGCTGATCTGCCAAAACGTCTTACATTTAGGAACAGAGGGTGTATTTAAGATACCCTTGTATTAAGTTGTTATTGATCATACATTCATACCCTTTAGATTGTTCAGGAAATTTCTTAGTTTTCGAGTCTTTTCTTAACATTTCATCTTTTTTTTAGGTCTTGCTCGTACCATCTGCATTCACAAAGGTAACTGGGGAAGCACACTGGGAAATTCTCCTTCGTGCTCGTGCAATTGAGACACAATGTTATGTACGTAAATCTAAACACTTCTCGCTGCCTATTGACTTTTGCATGTAGGTTTAGTTGTTTCGTATAGTTGACACTTGGCAACATGGGATTCGATAATGTAGAAGAATGCTAGACTATTAGTACAGATACCTACTGTATTTGTAATTTTACACATGAAACACATGTGCAAACCTCATCACATCAGTGGAGGTGAATAGTTGGTACATGAGCTACTTGTTAATCCACCATATATATGCCTCTGATTGCAGATTCAGAACAAGTGAGCTATGCTTATATTTCAAAAGCTTTTGCTTTATGTGGAATTCAGTTAAATATGAAAATTGTTTGGTTGACTTTCGAAGTTAGGCAGCTTAAAAACACTTTTCCAATATTTCTTAGGTTATTGCTGCGGCTCAAGCTGGAAAACACAATGAGAAAAGAGAAAGCTATGGCGATTCTATAATTATTGACCCATGGGGAACAGTTATAGCTCGACTTCCAGGTACGGCTTTTCACTTTGTTATACTTAGCTGTTACATACTAAGTTATGATTCTTGTGACTTGGAAGATTATATTGGGTTCTTTTCATGTTTTGTATCTTAACTGTTAAGAACCATCAATAGTGACTTTCTCTTGAGCTACTTGTCAGTATTTGCTTCTTTCATATGGTTGTGCTGGAAAATAGTCGTCAATTTTGTAATGCTGATAATTTTGTGTTCATTTTTGTTCATTTTTTAAAAAATAATATTCTATGGACTACTTTTACAAGGTATTACCACTAGTACCCTTTTTTATTGTTAGATAAATGATCTGAATTTTTGCTACAGATCGACTGTCCACTGGATTTGCAGTAGCAGATATCGACTTGTCAAAAGTTGAGGCTGTGCGAACCAAAATGCCAATCTCTGTGGTAATGATGTCTCATGTACCATCTGTTTGCTCCGGTCCAAGTACTCCAGAAGCTGCATTTCTGTAATGGCTTAATTATCCTATGTTTGCAGCACCGCAAGTTTGAGAGCATCTGGAAGTCCTCATCACTATAATAGTTGAAGGTGGTCTTGCACGCTTCGCCGCTCTTATTCTCACATTCCGGAGATTCTTCTTTTGTGTATAATAACTGCCATTTTGTTCACAAGATGGTCCAGTTCGATTGGGATTTCCAGTGAGACATGTCATAGAACTAAATAAGCTACAACTGTAGTAGCATATCTAGTAAATAGGGCATATCCAAACATGGCTCAGAGCACCTTATGACTTGGTTTGAGATGGCTTCTACCTCAGCTTATGGTCCAGATAAACCAGAAGCCGTTCCAAACCCAAAGCTTAGGAACAGCTTAGGTTGTGTTTGATTGGGCCTTAGGGTCTTTTAAGCCAAAAGCTCAACCAAATCCAGCGAATTTGATGTTTGTGTGTATGTTGACATGTACAAATGCATGGTAGCGGTACTTTCATGAGTTTGTCACTTTATTCTTATATGCTACTCCCTCCGTAAAGAAATATAAGAGCGTTTAGATCACTTCTATAGTGATCTAAACATTCTTATATCTCTTTATAGAGGGAGTAGTTCTTTTACTGTGGAAGAGATGTAAAGGGCAATTTGGGGATGAACATTCCACAAATGTTTTTCTTTTTGTGAGATATATGGAAAAAAGAGGTAGATAATCATAATCGGCCATTGGGCTTGTTGAACCAGAAAGGTTAAAAAGATCTTGGAGATAGTCACTGGGATTAGAACCATTACAAGGGGAAAATGTTTCAGCTAGACCTGACGCTGTTGACACGAACAATCTATGATACAATTGCCAACTCCTCGATGACAATGGAATGATGACTTCTCAGTGTGGTCATATACAAGTGACTACTTTATTTTGTGATGCGTGTACAGTTGTATATAACTTTTTGGTCGTAGCCCTCTATCAAAATGTAAGACTTTTTTTAACACAGTCATGGTGTCAAGAAACGTCTTATATTAAGTTACCTGAGGTAGTCTTAATGTTTTTTTTTTGAAATATCCGGGTCCTCCGGCTTCATTGATTTAGAAGAAAGCAGTGGGAAACATGATGATCAAGTGATCAATGGTGGTGTTACATAGAGAAGGAAGAACAGGAAAGACTAAAGGGTGCAAGGCCACCATCTCATGATCGGGTCCCCAAACGGGGGCTCTAAACAGGTTGCTCCAGCTAGTCTCCATTGCTCAATGTTTGTGCGGACAGCACGGATGATATCTTCGCTACGGTGTCTTCGTCCTGAACACACAGTTGTTCCTCTCCTTCCAAATTTCCCATGGTACCATCAGGAGCAAAAATCGGACGCCTCGCTTGTGTGCTTGCGGTGTGAGGTTGATCATCTTTTGAGGTAGTCTTAATGTGGTTGTTGCGCTGCAGTGTTCTGTTGATCTGAATTGGCAAAGTTACGCATGTTATTTGCTGGAGTGTTCATAGATCTGTTATTTGCTTTCTACAGAGTAGTGTTTGTTTGCTTATTCTTTTTTTAGGTTTTTTTTGAGGGGTTTGTTTGCTTATTCTGTCTGAGGTGATTAACGCTGTCGGATTTTAATGAATTAAGTTTTTATTAGTGTGCTCAATTTGCTAAAGCATTCTCTCAAATATTTTTGCTAAAGCATGATCCGCCTTTCTATCCGTAGTAATCAACCAAGCGTGCATGCAAAATATCGTCTTTGTTGAACAATATGTGTTAGTTAACTAATTCAGAAATTCCACCAAATAATTAACTGGATAATATTTCAATTAGCTATAGCATGATCATTTGCAAATAAATCTCCCTTTTAAAAGTGTAAGCAATCTCTTAGTTATTCAACAGACAGTAAAACAATAACTAAGAGCAATTCTAGCATAGCTTCGTCCATAATTTTTTGGAGGCTGCCGGCCTTGTGCGCAAATACAGAATTGCCAAAGGCATGCTCCATTTTTCTTTTTGCATGTTCTTCAAATTTGCAGTTTCAGTTTAAGCCATTCAAACAATGAATAAACATAATCAAATACGATCACTTAATTTGAAATTATATTCATGGCCAAAATTCATCGTATTTATATTTATTTTGCAAATTGGAATGTCACTGTTCAACATTGCTAGCTATTACTAGTGCTAATTACTTTGACACTGACGTTGTCTTTTCATCGTCGACCTCTTTGTCTTCCTCCTCAATCTCATCAAGGTCGTGGTTGTCGACGAGCGGCAGAACCAACCTTGCATCGGCGGGCGTGCTCTACCTTGAACCGTGGCCTCCTCCTCAGAGCTGTGAGTGAGGAGGGTAGTCTACCCGTGTTCCTTCCCATCGTCGGTTGCGAGCCCGAAGCGCTTACGGCAGGCTTATGCAAAGGAAAATAGCTCAAGCACGACCCCTATTGAGTCATCAGGCTCGGGCTTGACAGGTAAAGTGATGAGGGGGGTTCAAGGGTGTTGGCGCCCTCCTCTAATGAAGGGTGTTGGCATCATGCTCCTCGTTGAAGGAGGAGTTGTACCGAGTGCGTGGCACGAACGGCGGGCTAGGGGCGCCCATGACAAGGATGACATCGTTGACGGAGACTATGGTGCGCGAGTGCAACAACCAGTAGTTTAGGAGAGAGCGTGATTTTTTTTCCAAATGTGCATTGCGTTCATGCATCCCTATTTGGGGGAAATTGGAAACATACTTTTCAGACCTAAAAGAATTAGACCATGTTAGAAATTTGGGCATGACCTTCACTCTTTTCTAGACATTTGGATCACAATTCAAATAATATCATACAAGGATCACATTGCAAAAGTACATCTCACTTACTGAATTGGAAATTTACGTAAACAACTAAATAAATATTGAGTAATGAACTCAATGATACAAAGTCATAGTGCAAATTCATACAAGAGAATAATAAACTTTATTACCGAAAAAGGCATTCGCTTCGCTTTATATATAAAGCAAACCACCAGAGCCAAACAATCCAACAGGAGTTCACACCTCTCTCACACACACAATGGTAGCACAACACATAGTACGAAGAGGGTTTTGCTGAGGGCACATCTCAACAAGCTCTGAAACAAGACAAAAAACAAAGACGATAACACATGGAGAGCCATCGTGCGAAGATCTGTTATGATGATGTTGATGGCGTCTCGATCTTTAGGGTGGCTAAGCGGCCGTCAAAGTTGCAAATAGCCACACAATTTGAACACCGCGTCAGTAGCACGTCGAAGAGGCACACACTGGATCACAAGTTTATTCCGGATCATCCAGAGCGTCCAGGCAAGGACCCTAATAGTCAGCCACCTAATGTGGCGAATCGTTTGTGGGGATGCCTGGATTTCAGCGAAGAGGTTGGGAAGTAGTTGTGGCACTAGCGACCACCAACTAGTTTGCGAAAAAAGCTCCACAGGAATTGAGCGGACACGCAAGAGAAGAAAATGTGGTTCGAGTCTTCCTCCTCCCACATAGGGGGCAAATCCCATCGCCTGGGCCATTCCGCTTGAGTGCCTCCACTCCTGAGGGGACCCGACCCCGGATCCACTGCCACAGGAAGATCTGAATCTTCAGTGGTAGACAGATGGTCCATATCTGGACAAGAGGCTTTGGGCCAGGCGTGGCCGTGATG